CAGCTGAATATGAACGTCCTCAGGTTTTCTGTTACATAAAGAGTTTTTTGCAAGCATCTACAAAGCAACTACACATCATGTTACTTTAAAAAAATTAACTAAAAAAAGAAAAGAAAAGAAAAAGGAATACCCTACTGGCATATGTTGAAAATTGGAGCCCAAGCTGACACAGCCCACATAGAGTGGCTAAGGAATTGTCTTTATATAAGAAAAACAATAATGAGTTATTTTTGCTTGGTAGATCTGGCTAAGGCAGAGCAAGCTAAGATAATCCATTTTCATAAACTCCAAGATGAAGTTACTGTAATTCATTCTATTTGGGACTGCCCGGGGAAAGTATTTAAAAATCCCAATTGTTTCAAAATGCTGTTGCCAGACAACTGTCTCAGAAGAGAAAGGCCACAACTTATATAGTTCGGCTTTTTTTGACTGCACTGGTAACCTGTTCTTAATACATGCAAGATGCTTGTTCATACCTTTAAAGCTCAAAACAGCTGGGAACAATGGAGTCATGTTCAAGATTCCTTTGCCAGTTGATTAAACATTGGGAATAAAAAGCAGGCCCTTTTCACCCATACTCTGAAATGTCCTCTTCGGGAAACACGCATGGCCCACAACAGGAAGGTCTAAAGCTTTCTTTGTCTTGGGAAAAGCTAAACCGATGGAGATTATTATGGAATATATGAATGTTCTTGACTGTTATTATCTCTATTGATTACTGATCATGTATGATTTTTGTAACTATTATATTTTTAAGACAAAGACTTAATTTTCCACTGAAGGAAAGGCAGTATTTAAGTGTTTAAAATATAGCAAAATGGTAAAGCAGAGCTATGGATCGTGAAAATATTAGTGCTCTGAATCAGGGCAGAAGGAGAAGCCTTTAGGAACCACAGGACGAGAGGCAAGAAGGCATTAATAGTAAAAAAAAAAATCACTGCAGGATTGCCGGCGATGGTCTTGGTTCCAAGGGCAACAATCCAGCAACAATTTTTGACTATTACAGGCTCCTCCCCAACCCCAAGGCTCCCAAAGGCTTCCCCAGGGGGATTCAAATTTTTTTATTAATTTAAATTAATATTTCCAGTGCCTAGATGTTAATCAGTTTCTGCCTGTGTAACTATGCCAACAGCCCGGAAAACCCACAACAATTATGCCAACAGGATTTGGCATAGTATCAGACTGTTATTTCATTGCCAAGATCATCTCCTGCCCTAGATTCAGGGCAGAAAAAAGGTCCTGAATCCTGATACAGATAGTTGTTCCCTTGATTCAACAAGCTCTACATCTCGATCACAGGGAGAGGAGTTAAGTTTTTCCTTTCCACCATGTTGACTCATTTCCTTGAATCAACAGGCAGCACCGTTCATGAACAAAGTGTGCAGCCATGAGGAGGTGCACACTGCAAAGAGGAAAAGCAAGAAAACAACCAGTAGCAGAAAGGTTAATTATAATTATAATACTTTTAGAACTGCTCAGCTGGAAGGAACCCTATGGAATATCAAGTCTAAGTCCCTGTCAAGGAGGCACAGTGGGGAATTAAACTCTCAGCCTCTGCAGCCGGATGCCTTAAACCATTGAGGATCAAAAGGATGTTGGCACAAGTAGTGGCTGTTTTGTCAAAGAAAGAAGAGGATCCAGTTACTACAGTAGGAGTTGTGAGGAAATAGGAGGAAACTGGGACTTGTAGTCATACAAAGATAGAGTCTGTTAGGTTCTATGTAAGATGGGTTAAAAGCACTGAAATGTTCTCATGAGACTGTTGTGCAGGGTTTGCTCTGCCTGGCATGAAGATAAGAAAGCAAGGCCGAAGAGGTCAAGAGGAGCCCAAAACAAAACATACCGCTTAATTGCCACAAGATAAGCCGCCTGGATCTTCTCATGTGAAATAAGGGAGTGGACTGTGTTACACCCACTTGATCTTAATTGGTTAGCAGTTTGCAAGTGGTGGTCCAGAGACATGTACAAAAATGGTTGTTCATGTATGTGACAGATTGATGGTGGATGTTGTGGAATGTGAGAGGTTTGTATTTTGAAAAGGAAAAGGGGGGGGGGAGAAATAACCCAGCTTCTCTAGATGCCATCATGTAGAGAGCAAAAATGATTATTTAGCGTAATCTTTGCTGTTTATTATTTTACTTAAGAATAATGAACTTATTTAATCATAGTAACTGCTGGATATACTTAATGCTTTATGCCTTTTAATGCGACAACTGTATTCTAATGAAACTATTTTCTTAATAAAACAATTATTCTTAACTGAAGGACTGGTCTCTTGAACAGCAGGGTTACACCTAAATCCAGTGGAGATTTGAGAAGGTCACTAATTGCTACTGTAAAATAGAGAGGTCCTACCTGGCCAGTCTGTTGTGCCGTCTAAGGAAGCACACAGTCAATGGTTTATTGCTTTGAAAGTAAGCAAGAGTTTCTTTTAAGGTTGAGCTTGTCCATGAACCAAGAACTACACACTTCTGAGGCCTAAAGGACCTACCTCAGGTAACAAAAGTGATGGTTTTGCGTTCAAAGTGACTCCTCACCCGAGGAGAGGTGATCTTTACAGGAGTCCCATAACAACAGGATCAATGTCTACCAATTCAATAATGCACAGTTTGAAAATATTAAAAATATTAAAGGAAAGATCCTTGAAATATATATTTCTAAAGATGCAGTTGCCAGAACAGGCCACTAGAGGGAGCCAGAAATCATGCTATGTACAGTACTGTACTGTATAGCGTTTGCTATAATCTGCATTTTCAGCATCCATGGGACAGATTTGGAAATAATCAATCTACTGTATTTGATACGCCAGTATTTTATTACTGCAGCTGTTTTCAGATGTGTAAATTTTGTGAGGGTTCGTTGTTAAGGGGGTCAGTCACTTTCAATAAAGACCGAGACGTGGTAAACTTTCCAACTGGTTCTGCATTTATTCGAACATCAACATCAACTGGAACATTATGAGTAACAACTTTCTCTGTCTCTTGTTCCCCCAATCCAGGGCGCAAGGGTGTCCATAAACTTCCCACAAAGGGGTTATTGTCCTCCATAGTCCAAGGTCCAGTTAAACCTTTCACTGGAATCTGGGGTTCTGGAGCTTCTTCGTCAGGAGGGATTAGGGGAAGGGTCTCTTCGTCGCCGCTCCACCCCCATAAGGATGAGCCATCTCCGGGGTCTGCCATCCATGGCCCGGGTAAACCCCCATCTTCTGCAACTCCGCCAAATGCCATGCTTTCTTTCGTTCAATCTCTTTAGCTACTGCCTCCCTCTCTTCCCTCAACTTGCGTCTCCACTCTTTTGCCTCCGTTTCTCCCCAGTATGAGGGAAGGGGTTTCAAACCTTGTTTCCTCCGTCTCTCAGCCTCCTCATGGGGCACCCGCATCTGCTCCCATCTTCCCGTCCACGGATCTTGTAGCCAGATCCATTCCCAACCTCCCGGGATCTCTTCGCATTTTTCTTTTATATCCCTGGCTGCCGCCTCTATCTCCTCCTTCCCTTTTCCCACCAAATCTTTCCCCGGCCCTGATGACACGGTTAACCCCTTCAAGGTCTGTACCAGGTCACTGGTGTCTATACCCACGTCTTTTGGCCCCCTATCTTCCTGCATTTCTCCCAACTCGCGGGTGTCCACCTGCTTGTCTTCGCGACGGGGTGGTGAAGGATGGGGAGAGGTTTGGGTTTTTTGGGTCCGCGACGGGAGCGACAGCACTCCTACATAGGCCTCCTGCTTGGGGGCCTCACACATTTATGCCTAGCCCTCTCTTCAAGACTCCAGAGAGCAAGCAATCTATCAGAAGTTTAGCAGACGAAACGTTAATACCATCTCTAGAAGCACTGCTCCCTTAGGTAGAAATGGCTTATTTATTCTAATCTGAGCTCACCTGAATTGCATTTGGCAGACTGGCTTGCTTTTGTTTTGTAACTGATCATTTTGGAGATGACACAGATTTCTTTGAATATCTGATGTGTCAGTTACATAGCACTGAAATATTTGTGCTGCCTGAGTGGGCCCTAGGCAAAAATATATAACAGTGCCCCCCCTTATTTGTCCCTCCCTCCCCCTTACCTCCCACCTAAATAGGTCACACAACATGAACAATGTAAGGGGGCAGGGGAAGAACAATACACAAAGTCCTGGCTCCAAGAATTAATCAATACTGGCAGGTAAGATATTTTCCTCTGATAGGAGAATTTTACAAATACACTGTTTTGAAGCATAAACTTGGTATATCATGCCAATGAGCAGTAAAAACATAGACTTGATGTCTCATGCCAACGAAAAGTAAATTCAAAAGCTTGTACATCATGCCAGTGCCCTCTAAGCCTCCAAAGTCCTGGCTCCAAGAATCAATCAATACTGGCAGGTAAGATATTTTCCTCTGATAGGAGAATTTTACAAATACACTGTTTTGAAGCATAAACTTGGTATATCATGCCAATGAGCAGTAAAAACATAGACTTGATGTCTCATGCCAACGAAAAGTAAATTCAAAAGCTTGTACATCATGCCAGTGCCCTCTAAGCCTCCAAACAGCTTGCCTGTGCCATCTTGCCCCCCAAACAGCATCTCTGTAGCCCTCTAGCCCCCTAATAGCCTCTCTCCGTCATCTTTGCTGCCAAAACAGCCTCTCAATGCTGTGCCTGCCACTGTCAGCTTTCCCAGGTCGTGACCCTCAATGACGCGGGCGATGGGAGAAAAGTCTGTGCATGCCACCAGTGTTCAAACGGTGCAAGGTCATGCGTGATGGTCTTGCTGCATGACCTCAGCGCACATAAGACTTCAAAGGCCCAACAAGAAGTAGGCTGTGCAGCACCATCACGGAAGGAAACAAAACTCCCCCTCTTCATGTGGGATCCTATAGACAGTGGGCCCTTGGCAAATGCCTACTTTGCTCATTAAGTAAAGCAGAGCTGGCCTGGTGAGGCAGTAATACTCAAGCTGACCCTCACAGGTAAAACACATAAGATACATGCATTGCAGAAAGAGTAATGTCATTACTCACCTATTTTATGATAATGTCAGACACTTCGAGGGAAGTAGCCACAATAGTCTGGTGCAACATTCCCTCTAAGACATGTGGGCATGCATGCGCAGCGCTGCCTCAGGTGCACACAGCCGAGTGGGTGTTAATGCCCTTTTGCTTCCGGTTGCGGCTGGACGCCGCATGAAAGGGGCGGAGCTCTCGCGCAGGATTCATGAAAATTAGAGGGAACATTGTTCTGTTGCAGCACAAAAAGGGAAGAGAGAAACAAAGAGAAAGAGAGATAGAGATTCAGGGAAAGAGTCTCCTTGTGGCACCTTAAAAATAATGTTTTATTTGGTAACCAAGTGGGTTGTAGTTAACTAAAGTGTGTGCAAAACTAATTTGCTAGCCTGTGCCAGATGATTTTTATTTAAACTAAACTGATTAAAATCATTATTTAAATCACTATTCAGGGAGACTCAATTTCATCATTTGGTCACTTCAAATTGCTTGCTGTAACTTTAACCTTTTTTTTTTTCACAACCTGAAAATAAAGATTTTTTTTTTAGAACTCCCATGCTGTACTTTGTTTTAAAAATTTACTCTGAAAAACATTCAGATTAGCTTTGCAATTAAGCCAGAAAGGAAATATTATCATGGCCATCAAAGCTCAGTGAAAAAGATATTTGTGAAGGTACTGGATAAGACTACAATCTCCAGTTCAACAGATGAATCACAGATGTTTGGAATACTTCCTTAACTTATTTAATTAGGGCAACAAACAACATTTAATTGTTGAGTTTTGCTTCTCCAAGAGCAGGAAAAAAACCTACTCAATGAAAAAACTACCAAAAGAACACTTTTGAGATTTTAATAGGCCTTTTTAGAATTTGCCCAAGACAAGAGGAGAATTTCCTGCATTCTGTCAAGTGCACTCAATGATGGCAGAAAACTCAAAGAGTAAATCCTACTGAACACAGAGGCTAGGGCCTGCTGTAAGCTCTAGTTCAGAGAAGTGAGGGCAGCAAGGAAGTCTTTCTTTTCCGCCATCATCATGTCTGTACAGAGTCATCCAGGGGAGCTCCCTGAAGTGGCCAAGGGTAGAGATCAGGGTATTCGTATATGAATAAGGAGGCAATAGAAAAACCACTGTTGAAAAAGTCTTCATTGGATCCCATGGTATTGGATAATTACCCTCTAATGTTCCATTCTAGGACAATGTATTGGAGTGGGTTGTGGTTTCTCAGCTCCAGGGATGAGATGGACTATCTAGGTCCGTGTCATTCTGGCTTCAGGCCTGGTTATGGGACAAAGACTGCTTTGATCACCTTGGTGGATGACTTACACTGGGAGCTGGACAAGGAAAATGTGTCCCATTTGGTTCTGCTGGACCTCTCAGCAGCTTTCGATACCACAGACGACGGTACCCTGGGCTGTCTCTCTGGGATGGGACTTAGTGAGACTATTTAACAGTGGCTCCAATCCTTCCTGAAGGGGAGAAGAAAGTCTCCCATCTAGGAAGGGGAGGTTAGGGGACTCCTGTTCAACACCCTGGCCATAGGCCTGTCATGTCCCTCAGGGTTGTGTTTTGTCACCTATGCTATTTAACAACTACATGAAATAATTAGGAGAGGCTATCCTGTTAAGAGTTCAAAAATTGATTTTATGAGTGCAAAAGTGTTGCTCTAAAATTGAAAAGTCCTTTTAAAAAAAGTGCCTCAGAGAACTGTATTAAAATCAGAAGTATAATTGGGAACATACTCTGTGAAGATTATTTATGTTACAAAACCAAAACAACCTGCCTGTTTTGGTACAAATAGAAATGATGAGATAAGATGGCAGAAGTAGTTCATCGAGTTTCATGCCAGTTTTCATGACGAAAAAGGTAAACAATAAAATGCTTGCGCTATGTGAACAGAGACCACAACAAATATGGAAATGCATTTTATTTTGCTGCTTGAGTATGTTTACTAATAATGTTAATTAGCAAAGAGGTGCTGCAGAATAAATTCTGGAGGCCTCTGTTAAGCAAATGAGAATAACCATATATCGTACAGAAGAAGCTTTTACAAAACAATGTAAAAGGAATTAAAAATGAATGTTGTTTTAAGTAGTTTGCTTCTTGATGAGCAAGTGGAAAAGAAAACAAAGGTCCTGTTCATTTTATAAGGCTTTAGCCTCATAATAAATAATTAATAATTTCCTAATTCAGTTTGGTAACAAGGAGGATTATAAACTCATATAATATTCTGTGGTACTTATGAATGAAAATGTAACTGTGTTGTACTGTCCAAATAGGATGCTAAGGAAATTACATCACCTAGAAAATTTTACCCCAAAGGAGAGGGCTACCTCAACGCTCAGCTAACCTAACTGACAGCTACTTTATAACCCAGCTAATCCAGTTGATCACTATCCCAGTTCACCGCTACTCAAGGACATCACTTACCCACAGGAAAGCTAAAGTTCTACATCAGATTGTTTTGGCTAAAGCAAAACATCAAACAATATATAAACAGAGATTTCTATCATGTTTCTGGAACATCTCTCAAAGGATGCAGACATCTGTTTTTACAAGCACAGGATAAATCTCTGCTGGGAGTGGAAAATGGAAGACACAGACGGATTGAGAGCGGCCAGCAGATAGCTATGGGAGTAACACAGCTAAAGGCAAAAAAGTTTGGTGAGAAAAATATTTTTCTGTGTTTTAATAACATGCTTAGAGCTAAGTAGCGCTTTTGATATTGTATATTTTTAATTTTAAAAGTTTAAATACTTTTTCGTGCCTTTCACTGAAAACTATAAAGCTTTTTATGATTTTATTCTTAAGAACTCTGAAGTATTATAAATACTGTATGTATTCTCTGCCTTTATAAGCTATGAGCTCCTGTGTTTTAATAATTTTGTATTTTGATTCATACATTGCTTGAATTATTCCTGTAACCTAAGTTTCAGTATCTTTCTTTACAAGTTGCAAGGACGTATTTTAAGTAACCCTACAGCTTACTGTTTTACATTTCTGTATAAATTTTGGGTTTAAGCACATGTGCCTACAGTTTTTTCCTCGTAACTGTAAAACTGTCTTTGATCATTTTTGGATTTGCTACTTTCAAGCATGGAACCTAGAAATGCTGTAAATAAATGGAACTTGTGTAGAATTAACAAGTTATGGATTGGCTTGGAATTATTGCAACAATTAAGACACTTATATTGAGATACCCAGATGAGTTTACAAACAGCTTGTTACTGGTTATTTGATTTCATTCTGGTATTAACCCTTTACTGGGAATATGACAAATCAAAGAATCCGTTCTCTTCGCCCCAGAGGTCTATAAATTTTTGTGGAACTCCAGATGTGTGTGTCAGTTATCCAGTTCAGGATCTGACAGTCCAGAGTTTTGGGGTTCAGTGTCACCAGTATGCAGATGCCACCCAACTCTCTCCTTGCCATCTAAATCTGAAGAAACTGTTTTGGTTCTAGACCAGTGTCTGGTATCAGTAATGGACTGGGATGAGGGCGAATAAAATGAAACTTAATCCAGACAAGACAGGGATGCTCCTGGTCAGTCAAAGGGCAGATTAAGGAACAGGGTAAAACCTGTGCTGGATAGAGTTAAACTCTCCCTAAAAACACAGCTTTGGTGTGTTCCTGGGTTCATCCCTGAGCCTAGATGTCCAGGTTTAAACAGAGGCCAGAACTGTGCATTTGCACAGTTAAAATGAGTGTGCTAGCTGTGCCCACTCCTGGAGATGGTTGACCTGGCCACAGTGACACAAGCCCTGGTTACATCCCAACTGAACTACTGCAAGATGCTTTATGTGGAAAGTGTTTGGAAGATGTACAGAAACTTCAAGAGGTCCAAAAAGCTGCAAACAGATTGTTAACTGAGGCTGCCTACAAGGATCACATAACCCTTATTACAGCACCTCCACTGGCTTTCAGCCTGTTTCTGGACACAAATCAAAATGCTGTTTTGGACCTATAAAGCTCTGAACAACTTGGATCCAAACAATCTCAAAAACCACACCTACCTTTATAAAACTGCCTGGATTTTGAGTTCATTGGGGAAGCCTTTCTCTCAGTCCTGCCACTTTCACAGGTGTGTTTGGTGGGGACATAGGAGGGAGCTTTTCCTGTTGCTGCTCCTAGGACTTGGAACCCCCCTCCCCACAGGAGGCCAGGCTGGCCCCATCTTTGCTGTCCTTCCGTCAGCAGGCAAAGACCTTTCTCTTCAAGCAGGCTCTTTCCTTAGTGACTGGCTAAGAGGTTTTTTTAATCTATTTGTTTAACTATGTAATAATTTATTGTTTTTAGCTTTTATATTATTGATTTTTAATAACATCAGCTACCTTCAATGCTTTTTAGGAGAAAAGAAGGGTAAAATATCTTAGATAGATAGATAGATAGATAGATAGATAGATAGATAGATAGAAGGCATCGAGAGAGAGAAAGAGAGAGCGAGAAAGAGAGAGAGAGAGAGAGAGAGAGAGAGAGAGTTGGAGATGGAAAAAGCTCCAAAGTCAGAATTAGAAAATAAGGCTGACCTACTCCATTATTTCTGATCTTCATATATTGCTGTTAACTACCATATTTTACCATGTGTAAAATGAGACTTTTTACTCAAACAATTAGACCAAAAATTAAGGGTCGCTTTCCCTGCCTTTTGTGAAGCCAGAGTAAAGCAGCCATGAAAGGGCGTCAGGATCAAAGGGGCACGAGCACACTGCCCTTTCATGGCTGCATTAACCATTTCCTAAGCTCCGCAGGGCTTAGAAAGTGGGAAAGGCAGCCAGGAAAGGGTGGGAGGATCAAAGGGTTGTAAGCGTGCACATTTTCTAATTTGGGGGTCATTAAAGGGTTGTGAGCGTGCACATTTTCTAATTTGGGGGTCAGAAAAGGGGAGGGTCGTCTTATACTTTGGGCCATCTTGTAAACAGAAAAATACGGTAATAAGTGTCTCTCAAAACACAAGCCCAGTTTCAGAACTGCAACGTTTTCTACTGATATCCTTTCAACCATTATATCCAGTACCTGGGGAGATGGAAAGATTAACCTAAGTAATCTTTACAGAAGTAACCCATCCTTCTATAACCATTATTTATTCAAAAGGATCTTCTGCTAAAAAGAAGAGGACTTTCAAGGAGGGACACTGCAGAGACCAAGAGCAGATATTAAATAAAAGAAAGTAAAAATGAGCAAGAACTCATCACCAAAATCTGCTAAACAACTACAGACAAGCTA